CCCCAAAACCCCAAAACCCCAAAACCCCAAAACCCCTTTTCAATTTATGAAAATTGAAATCTTTGATTCAGTACTAATTCCTTATTTAACATATTTGCTGCTACCTACTGTGTTATTCAAATTTTGCTTATGCTTTTTGACAAATTTGCCTTTAAGCTTCTTAACTTCCTCCTCAAGCTTCTTATTCTTCAGTTTCTAGAGGTAAAAATAGAGACTCACCTGTTCGGATATCTGTCCTTTGTAGTCTCTAGCTAAACGCTGTTTTTCAAGTTTCAACTGCTTGTTAAAATTATCTTGAACTTCTTTATGAATTGATTTTACATTCTCTAAATATTCTTAAAGCAGAGAGAGTACCTAGTTTCTTGATCTCATACTGTTTAGTAAGTTTGTCTTGTAAAAATGCTAGTTTTTGCTCCATTTCCTCTTCTTTCTCTACAAAATGAGTTTTATAAAATTACGTTTCATGTACTCTTCTTTCTCCCTCTCAAATCTCAAAGTAGCTTCATCAAGCTCAACTTCTTTAATACCTAAACTCAGCTCAAACTCATCCGAAATACCATAATTTTGGAAGGCTTTGAACTCCAAATCCATTTGCACCCTCTCCTTATACCTAAAACTCCATAAAACCTCTCTAAAACTTACTTTTTAATGTATTGGTCTCTCTCTTGTTGGACCTTCCTCTCAATGTCCTCTTTGCTTTCAATAAAAGTTCTTAAGTCATCTTCCCTCTGCTTCTTCACAACAGAAACTCTTTGCTGGATGATCTCTTCTCGCTGATCGATTTCTTTCTGGAGGTCTTCAATGGTCTTTGAGACTCTTTGCTGGAGAAACTCTATCCTCGAGTCCCTCTCATCCAATTGCTCAGTGTAGTCCTTCTGCAAAGACTGGATCTGAGTTGTCAGCTGTGACTCCTTCTGAGAGAACTTGGTTGAGAGAGTAACAAGCTTGCTCTTTGTTGAAGATAGTTGGCAAGAAATCTCTGCTTCATCTTCAACTTTTCTTTCTAAAGAATAAGAGAATAGATACCTATGAGAGTCTTGAGATCCTGCACTTCCTGCTCTAAATTAATCCTTCTTTCATGCTCGATGTCTAACCGAGCCTGGACCGCTTCTTTTTCAGCCTGCATTTGTGTGTAAAGCTTTCTCATATGACCTGAATGAGAATGTTCGCCTGTCAGGTTGACTAAATCAGTGTTCTCCATTATGCTTTGTTTGTCCTGAACCACCTCATGCTCAGAAGAACGGAAATTTTCAGACTCATAATCATTATCACTCATTAAATCTTTTTCTGTTAACTCCTTCTGGGGACAATTTATTGAGCTTTCATCATTTTCTTCCTCCAAAGAGCGTAGTTCTTCTACTAATTTCTGGGATGCTTGTCTAGAGTTGAGTTTGCTGGTTGGAGATCTGCCAGGGCCAAGACTAAAAGATTCCATATTCCTCCTATCAATATACATCTTTTCCTCACTACTCCCCTTTGCTGAACTCAGTGGAGGTGGGAGGAAATCTCTCTCTTTTGTAGAGAACAATTTGCTCGTGTTAGTTGCATAATTAGGAGTGCAGTATTCTAGAATATCAGTCTCATTATTATTCCCAGAATGCTCTAAGATTGATGAAATAGCAAGTTCGTTGTTGCTCTCAGGCATAATATCCTTTACTGTTTGTTTCAGTTCTTGTCTTAAAGAACCTTGGAATTGGGATTCCATGTCCATTTCTCCTAAAAATTATGCTAAAATTACCTTTGCAATTCTCCGAAATGGACTCAGAGGTATCTGATTTCCTACTTGAAATGGTCCGAATTCGATTCTCTTGTTGGATTTCATTAATATACTCCTGGATGACAATTCTAGACTCTCTGTAACCCTCTTTGCTCTTCCTGAGAGACTCAACCTTATTAGATTTCGTGAATGAGCTTCTTTCACTGTTCTGGCTCTCCTTCGTTAAAGTGCCATCTCCTGGAAACTTAGAAATACTGTCCATATTCAGGCCATTGATGGAGAGACTACTGTGCCTCCCTTCCTCCTTCTGTTCAGAACCAATTAGTTTATTAGTCCTCTTAGTGATCTGGGCAGAGATATCAGTGCTATCATCAGTCTCAAGATGCTTCTTCTGAGCTTCCTCAGTATTCTGACTCTTATTCTCTTCAACTGTGTCGAAAGTGGGAGCGATGGTAGGACCGGTCCTATCATCATGCCCATGGCTATGCTCAACTTCTTCATCGATCCTAGACTCCCTCGATTCACTTTTAAGTGCATGAATAGCACCAGCAAGGCTCTTTTGGCCAAAAGTCTCAAAACTTTCCCGTTGCTTTTTATTTTCTTTTGAAATATTTGAATTATAGGAGTATGGGTCATTTGAGTGATACCCGCTTAAATTATTAGAGACTCTAATAGAAGAACCACAACTCTTCTCTTCCTCGTCATCTTGTTCCTCAATCACGTTCATCTCCATGTGGTTTATCTTGTATGTCTGGGGCAAAGGAGCTGGAGTAGCTAGTTTTGGAGTCATCTTTCCTTCAGCTTCTTTATAAGTCTCCTCAATAGTGATCATGTCGTCAGAGATTCAGAGAAAACTGCTCTCGTCCTTTGAAAAGACATTTGATTTAGTCCTGCTGCTGTATCCTGAGATATCATTTTTCACAGAAATTTCAGATTCCTCAGCAGGGTAGCAAGAGGTCTCAAATTTTGGAGCTTCTTTCTTCCTCTCTTCCTGCTTGAGTCCCTTCGTACCTGAAGACTTGGCAGTCTGGTTAAGGCTAGAACTCGTATCAGACCTTTTAAATGACTGGTCCATTGTCATTATATTGATTCTGTTAAAGGATGAGTTTTTGTCTTTGAAACCACTCACAATTATTGAATCATCTGAATCATCAGAGAAATCAATATGATCATCTGTCATATCATTCAGGATTATCTTACTATTGTCATCATTATTGGTCTTTATCTTAGAAACTTTAAAGAGGTTGGACATGCTCCTACTGATGCTCATATCTTGAGACACATCTTGGCTGCTCTCATGAATATTTGGTCAAGAGTTCTCATTTTTAAGATGCGAATTCCCGGTCACATTAACAGTACTTGATGAATACTTCAAAGTATTCGTTTTATTCATCAGAGTATTAGCAGAGACATTCCCTTCATTCTCAGCATTTTGAGAGTCTTTTAGTCCATTTTCTGTATTTTTGGAGGTTAGGAGGAACTCTCTTGAGAGCTCATCAAGTTCGCTCATTTTAAATTTAAATTATCCTATATTTTCCAAAATTAAGGGGTTTTGGGGTTTTGGGGTTTTGGGGTTTTGGGGTTTTGGGGTTTTGGGGTTTTGGGG